AGCTAACATGTAGCAGCTAACATGTAGCAGCTAACATGAAGCAGCTAACATGAAGCAGCTAAAGTGCAGCTCTGTTGTGCAGGCTGATGGGCCCGTTCATCGTCATGTTGGGGAACATTGTGGGGGATGTGATGCGTTTCCTGTTCCTGTATGCTGAGATCTTCATCCCCTACGCCTGCAGCTTCTGGATCATATTTGGAGGTTGGAGCATCAGCAGTAAACTGTCTGTTTCAGTTCCCTGCTCTAGCTAACGCTGATGTGTTCCCAGGAACGGCCTCGGTTCCCAGCATGCAGTCTGTTTCAGGTCTTCTCTACAGCCTCTACCGGATCACTCTGGTGGATGAGTACGAGTATGCTGCCATGGTAACAGTGGACAGCATCATGGCTCCTCTGCTGTGTGGAACGTTCCTGGCAGCGTCCTCCATCTTGTGTATTAACTTGCTGATTGCACTACTAACCGACACCTTCCAGAGGTCAGAGGTCACACATTCACACAACACAAAGACTGAGGCCTGGAATGACCCGAGGCCTCATGTGGAAAAGTGCTGAGCGTTCATAGTAAAGGTTCTCTGCAGGGAGAAACAGGTTGGCATCTACTTCCTAATCTGTGGGGGATTACATGTTGACCAATCAGGCATCAGGATCTGTTCCATCCTAAAGCAAACACTTCCTGATCTACTATGAATTATGCATTACAAATTGTCGTGGGAAAATAGTATTCAACTATTCATCCTAGTTAAATAAACGGAGATCGATGGATTTCACATTTATTCATGGCACAGCATTCTGCTCTGTTCTGCATGAGCAGCGTTCGTCCCTCCTTACTTTCAAATAATAAATGTTCTGTTAAAGAAAACCATAAAGTTTCAGTCATTTTAACCTCCAGATATATCTGAGCTTATGGATTCATTGAGAATAGATCATTTAAAGCCTCCATCATTCATCTTAATGTAGGAATTAAATCCTGTTATCTAGATCCTCTGTCACTGTAATCATTATTATTAAATATTATTATTATCATTATTTCCAAAAGAGTCATTTGAACACCATATAATTATTAACTAAAACTTATGTTAAATAAATTTGCATATTTATTC